TAGCCTCCGTTCAGAGGCTAAAATGTTATCTTGTTATGTGCTGGATGAATTAGGACTCCTTTCCAGGGCAAACAAGATCTCTTCGTGGTCCCATACGTTTACATAACTGAAAGAATTGACTTGTTACTCGTTGATGAGTCTTTCTGATGTAGCTTTATTGACTATGAACTGTTTTAGGTGAAAGAATATTTAGGATCAGTCATCCTGTGCTCAGCTTCTATGATTCCACATTTGTTGACAACATCACAGGCAGAAGCCTGTGGAACATCTGCCTTCTTTTTGTCATCAGGTCTGGTCGGGGTGCTGACCTTCACCACATCAAAAGCTAAAAGCGTCTTCACAGCCTGTATGGCCAGGGGCTTTGGCCTGAACATGCGCAGCGGCCGCAGATGTGGTGTCTTCTTTCATGGCTGACTCAGTGGTCGGGGGAACTTGCTGATGGCACAGTGAGTGGTCAGGCTTGTTTCCCTTGGATGCTCTTGCGAGGCCACTCGGGGTGCCTGCAAAGTAGCAGTGTCTTGGGTCTCTGGAAGGTAGGTGATGTGAGGATCTTTTTCTTGTGACTGGGGATGCCTTTCAGCACTTATTTCTTGGCCTTCCAAGTTTTGCTTTGGCTTCACTTTGGGGAGTGGCAGGGGCCTTTTTCACTTTCTATACCCTATTTGTGAAATGTCCTGTGTAGCTTTAAATGAAACTAGCAAATCATCACTTGGAATCTTATTGAAAAGCTTAAAGGAAAATTAATTGTATTTATAGAATATTGACTAAGTGCTTTTAACTTTAAAAAGGGAAAACAACTTTGTTGAATCCAAGAATACTTGTGTTATCAGTGAGGCCATACTGTTTGCTCTTTGCCACTAACTTTATAACGTAGGTTCTGGTTAATTGTGTTGGATTTTCCCTGCAGATTTGACATGATCATTGGAAAGAACAAAGGCTTTGGAGTCTAACTTGGTTTGGATTTTAGTGTCTATTACTCTATGCATACCACTGAAGAAAACCTCTTTTACATCACCTGTAACTCTAGGGTGTTAATATCTACTTCACAGGGATGTGTTGTGGATTAAATGAGATAATGAATATGTGGCCTTGATAAATAATAGCAGTCATGTATTTCTCAGTGTGCCACATTTAGATCAATAAAGCTGCATTTTATTAACCTTTAAAACTTTAAT